CAAGTGAAGGAGATGAAGGAAGAGATAATCACCCCGGGGCAGGCACCTCTTTGTTCCAGCTCGGCCAGCCCGGGGGTGGGGGTGGGGGATGGACAGACATGGACAGACTCTCAGCTGAACACTTGATCTGTATTTAAAGTGTGCTTTGTCCTGCTTTAGCAGGAACTGTTTGAGGCGTTGATGGACAGAAGCCAACCCATGGAAGGGGACAGGCAAGACGAGTCGCTTCCCTGGGGGATGCTGCTGATCCTGGTCCCCTGCTCTCCACAGGCTCAGCAGGGAGGGAGGGGGCTGCTCAGAGCCCTGCTGTGGGACAGGGCCAGGGGGCATCAGTGCCACCAGCTGCGAGGGCTGCAAGCACATCCACATCCACATCCCTGGTGCCACGGCCTGGAGCTGTGTTGGAGGCTCCAGGCTGGAAGCAGTGTTGGTGCTCTGGGCAGAGGGCACCTGGCTGTGTTTACAGCTGTTTTAGATACACTTAACAGCTGTCCTGGGTACATGTAATCACTGCTCACCAATGTGATGGTTCATCTAAACACCTTCCACTTCACTGGCAAAACAACCCCTGCCTGCCTCCCTTTGCTTTAGGAGCAGGAGGTGTTACTGTGGGAAGACACTTAACTCTTACAACTCTGTTGATGTTTCTCCACCCACCTTTAGGCCCTCTGTGTAAAGGTAGAGCTCGTGCTACTTTCAGGGGTGCTGTGCCCACAATGCCTAATGGTGGTGAGCTCCAAGAGAACACTGGGATGCTCATCATTGCTCAGTGTGCAATGCAGGTGCATCAGACAAACAGTGGATGTTGCAGACACCTGGGGTGAGTTCTGGATGCTGTTGCTAGTGGTGACAAGTATAAACAGAAGTGGTGAACCAATTCAAGCAATCCTTTTCCATGCATTTTTCTAACTTCTCAGATGTCTTGGGATTTTTGAGCCGGAAATGTTCTTGTACTTGAATAGCACTTGCTGGGTCTTGCTTCCAGTTTTTCCTCCCCCTGATTGCCAATGTTAACTTTACTTTTTTTATTTTTTTGACCGCTCCTTGTCACAATTCCACAAAAGGTCAGCTTGGTCTGTCTTGGTGCCAGGGCCTTGCAGCTGAGCAGTAACAACCACCCTACATTGGAACTCATCTGCTATGACCAGAACCTCTCTGGATGCTCATGGTTTAGAAATTGGCCTTGTATGGAACCACTGAGCAGGTTGGTTCATGACCTGTTGCTGGGCAGTGCTCAGACTGTCCCCAAGACAGTTGTTCATTTTGGTGTCTGGTGCTGCCTGCCCAGTGTGACCCCAGGGGCACATTTTGCCATGGATGGCACCATACAGTCCCATGCCTGTGGCTGCCCACCCTGGGGTTGCGAGACGATGAGGGGGAGCCAGAGTCCTTCCTCTGCCCTGTACTGCAGTGGGGTCCCTGCAGGTGGGGTAGAAAGACCAGGACCATTGGTACTCATGTGAAATTGCATTGGATGTCATTCTTGCTCCAACCCTCAGGATGGAGTTCCCTGTGGATGGACATGTGTTCCCAGCCCAATGAGGGCCTCTCAGTTTTGAGGCTGCCCTGATCCAGCTCTTCCCTTGGATGACATCAGGCAGGGCTTGGCTGTCACCTGATCTGTTTGCTCGCGGCCAGTCTGGCATCACCATCCTGCCTGTAGACCCATCTCAGGACACTGTGTAGGCATGAGGACACACCTCGGCATTGCTCAGGGCTCTACACAAGCAGGTTATTGCAAGAGGAGCTGCCAAACTGCCTTGAAGCGTGTGCTGGCCTTAGAAATTCCCGTTACAGACCATTTGTGAATCAGCTGAATCTTTGATTAGGCAGCTACGCTCCCCAGTTGTCCGACAGCAGCAGCCACCACCCCGGTGACAAGGTGACAATGCCACTGTCCTTCCACAGGACTGCCAGCCTGCCACTCGGCAAGGAATGGGTTCAACATCCTCCCTCCTTCTTTTTGCAGCATGGATTTGGAAACAGGTTCCCCAGGCTTGGCAGCTGCCCCGCTGAGGGCTGAGGATCATATGGCGACAGCAGGGAGAAACTCCTAAGCTTGGATCCGCTGCCAGGGCTTTTCAGGGATGCAGCTTCTGTTGGGTTGGTGGCGCAGAATGGTGGAGGAGGTGCTGGGTCTGGCAGTGCATCCACCACATCCTCAGGTGAGGTTAAGGACTCCAAAAGTAGGTCTGTATGAACTGGCATGCTGGCTGCAGGGTGTGTCTCCAGTACGGTGGGTGTGGGACGGAGAATCCATCCAAATCCTTGTGGAGCTGTGCACCAGGACCAGCACACAGGGGGACCCCAAAGAGCAAGACCAGTTTGCAAATCATGTATCCCTGAAGTGGAAAATCACTGTCAGAGTGTGGAAACCGTGAAGCTGCTTTTGACTTGTGGTGTTTGAAATGCGCCATGCTCACTTCTATTGAGTGACTGCCCAATATTTCCAATTTCCCTGGACTTTGATGAAAAAAAATATTGTTAAAGAGCCATTCATTTATTAAAGTGGGTTTACAGAAAACGAACCAAGCCAAGAAAACCCAACCAATAAAACAAAAAAGAAAACAAACCCACACCAAGTTTTGAATTACTTGGAAAACTGTGATGTTTTATAAGCACCAGCAGCTGAATCATAGTGGCTCGGCTCAGCAAGGCCAGGGCTGGTTGGGGAGGGAGCCCCTTTCATTCCAGAGTGGCAGGGAACTCCATGCTGGAGCTGGGTCTGCCATTGAGCAGGATGAGGAGCCTGGGAACACGCTGTGCCTTCCACCCCACTCTTGTCCCCTGCCACATTTCGGGGGTCAGGTTGGAAGGGAACACAATGGGTCACCCGTTCCAAGCTCCCAGCTCAGGCAGGATCATCCCAGAGCACACAGCACAGGACTGTGTCCAGCAGTGATTTTCCCAGCATCCTGGTGGGACACAACCACTTTGGTGCACAGAGGTGGAACTGAGGAAAGTGGTTTTGTTTCATGGCTTCACTGCTGATCTGCAGGCAGGCGAAAAATGCAGTCGTTAGTGCTAAATTTCCTGAGTGTAAAATGGGATAAGAAAACACAAACAGGCATTCCCAGAGGTGAAGACATCAGCAGCCAAAAGCTGCCTGCCCATTTTTGCTGCTGCTCCTGAGCAGGGCAGAGGCGAAGGGCGGTGCCTTGAGAGAAGGAAGTATAAAAATAGGTTGTTGTTTCCAGCACTGGCTTCTGTGTTGGTCCTCTCTGCCCTCCCTGTGAATGCCTGCATGGATCTTTACCTCACCAGGAACTGGGGGAGAAGGAAGAAGCCACAAGCCACTCAATGCTGCACCTGGAGCCTGCACTGGGCACTGAAGGGACATAGTGGGTGTCACCACCTAAACACTCTGGAGAAAACAGGTGAGAAAGCACACAGAGTTCTCGGCACCAAGATTTAGCAATGCCATGGTGGTTGATGCAGCAGCACATGTCAGCACATATCCAGGACCACAGGAAACGGCCTCGAGCTGTACCAGGGGAGGTTTGCATTGGATATTAAGAAAAATTCCTTCACTGAAAAGGTGGTCAGGTAACCTCAAAGGAGCAGAAAGCTGGGAAAATTAAGATTTCTCTGACCAGTTGATGTCTGTAGCCAACTGTGGCCAGGAATAAGATTTTGGGATATGATGAAAGTGCTCTGAAGGGCAGAGATGAGGAGTGATAGCAGGCTGCAAGCCTGAATTGGCTTTTGCAAGCCAGAATCCCAGTTCCTGGTGGGGTAAATATCCTGAGCCACTAAAACTGAGGAGAGCAGGGCCACCATTGCATTCTTCTGTGTCCTGCAGCATCCCATGGGCTGAGCTGGGCTCAGGACCTGCAGGTGTCGTTAAACTGCAATGACCTGCAGTGGTTGTAAACTGACAGAGAGTAGGTTTAGATTGGATATTGGGACAAAATTCATGGCTGTGAGGGTAGTGAGGCCTTTGCACAGGTTGCCAGAGAAGATGTGGTTGCCCCATCCCTGAAGTGTTCCAGGCCAGTTTGGACAGGGCTTGGTGCACATAGTGGAAGATGTCCCTGCCCATGGCAGAGGTTGAAATGGGATTGAGCTTTAAGGTCCCTTCCAACCCAATCCATTCTGGGATTCTATGTTGAGAGCAAAATGCAAGTCAGAAACCTGCTCCCTAGGGGATCACACGCCTGTCACAAACAGCCAAGGTTCAACGCAGTTATTTAATCCTTTTTGGATTGCCTGTTCCGCAGGAGGATGAAGCGCTAACACACATCGAGGGCCATACACGTGGTAGGAGCACTGATGAACTTGACTGATGGTGTTTGGGCGGAGATCTCCCACCGCTTTCTGCAGAACACGGAGAGCGCATCCAGGATGAGGCTGGAATGGCAGAGGCTCGGTCCTTGAGCCCGTGGGGGCAGTGGAGGCTGCCCCGGGAGCCCCGGGCCCGGGCTCTCGGTGTGCGGAGCGGGGGCCGGCCGGGAGCTCCGGGCCCGGCTCTCGGTGTGCGGAGCGGGGGCCGGCCGGGAGCCCCGGGCCCGGGCTGTCGGTGTGCGGAGCGGGGGCCGGCCGGGAGCCCCGGGCCCGGGCTCTCGGTGTGCGGAGCGGGGGCCGGCCGGGAGCCCCGGGCTCGGGCTCTCGGTGTGCGGAGCGGGGCTGCGGCGGGGCCGGCCGGGCACGGGCTGTGCTCGCGGGGGGGGGCAGCGCGAACCGGGCACCGCCGGGCCCCGCCTCCGGCTCGGCCCCGCCCCGCCGCTCGCCCAATCAGCGCCGCCCCTCCCGGCGGCGGCCCCGCCCCTCGCCTCCCCGTTGCCATCTCCGCCGGGCGCGAGCACCCTCGGCTCCGCCCCCGCTCGCGCTCAGCCCCGCCAATGGGGACGGCGGAACCGCCCGCGGCCCCGCCCCCAGCGCGCGCGGGGCTCGCGCCGCTGGCGGGCCCGGCGCGGCCTGCACGTCGGCGGCGGCGGCGGCGCGCGCACGGAGCCGCGGTGGCGGCGGCGCAGCGGGGCCGCCGCGGGGCTCGGCCGGGACCGCGCATGGCGGAGCGGCGGCGGCGGCGGCGGGGCCCGGGCAGCGGCGCGGCCAAGGTGAGCCAGGGCTGCGGCGGCGGCGGGAGCGCCCCGCGGGACCTGTCCAGGTCCTGACGCGGTGGCAGGTGCCGGTGGCGGCTGGCTCGGCCGCCCCGCACCTGTTGAGGACGGCGGGGGCTGGGCGGGCCGGGCCGCGGTGGAGGTACCGGTGCGGGGGCGCAGTGCGGCGCGGAGCGGGGCTCGGCCGTTCCTGGCGGGGGCGGGCGCCCGGCCAGGCTCCCCCGGGCAGGGGCCGCGGCGGGCTCGGGGCCATTTTGGGGGGCGGCGGTGCCACGGGAAGTTTGGCCCTGGCCACCCGACCCGGGGACAGCCCCGCAGCGGCACCGGCCGCCCGTCACGGCGCCCGGGGGAGCGGAGAATCTGTGTGCGGGGCACCCGCTGCCGCGGGGGGCGGCTTGACCGCCCTGCCCTTCTGCCGGTGCCCCCGGGCCGCCGCCGGGCTCCTCCGGCCTCGCCGGGTCCGGCCGCCCCCGGCCCCGCCGCCCGCCCTCTGCAGTGGGGAGGCGGCGCGTCCTTGGAGAGCAGCTCGGGCGTGAAACGCGGCTGCACATCCCAGCGCCTCTCCTTCCCGGCTGGATAACCCCAGCACAGCCCTTCTCCATCTGTTGCCGTGGCCCCCGGTGGGTTTCGTTGTTCCTTTGGGATTTGGTTGGATTTGTGCTGTGCTGGAGCAAAACTGCAGTCGTGAGATCTGTGGTTGTGCTTTTAAAAGTCTGGTTTGCTTAAAATAACAAAGATAAAAGGCTTCCAAAGGGAGCCTGTGGGGTGCCTGGTTACCGAGGGACACCGCTGGCCTGGGCCACTCCTGCTCTCTGCCCATCTTCACACGCACAGCTTCACCTCAGGGCTCAGGTGAGGCAGGCACTGCTCGCGGCAGAGGTCTGCGGAGCGTTCAGGACTTTGCACTCAGGCTGGTAAAACCACAGAATTGATGGACGAGCCACCATCAGCCATGCTGGTCCTTGGCCTCGGCTTAAATGTTTTCTTCTTCATTTCTAAATTTTTAGCTACTTTTTCTGGAGGTATATAAAGGAAAAAACAACTTCAGGTATTCTTTTAGCATAGACAATATTAGGGTCTCATTTCTTACTGTTTTTTATTTTATCTCAGTGGTGTTGACCTTTCTAGAGCTGTTGGGATCTCCCAGGCACCCTGCTTACTCTGTGAGTTACTCTGTCACTCTTGAGAGTGAGGTTGTAACATTGTTCTCGGAGCAGTTTTATGCTGGAGAGTGGCAGCAGGCCAACCTTCCTGGACACACAAGATGTTTAGAATAATTAGTGATGGAATACCCCTTTAAAATAATTGTTTTGGTTTATTTAGCACTCAGTTGTAGCGATATCCACCTCTAAAAATAGTCAGGCCTCTTTGTAATGAGCCTCGTAGTATAAACAAGTCATATCTTGAATGGCTGTTGTTACTTTTGGGATGTCCAAGATAGATGCCTTTGGGGGTTTTGCCAAATCTTCTTTTTTTATTTCTTCTGCAGTGAGCTATGTTTCTTGGCCCTGCACCGTGCAGTTGTATGCACTGACCAGAGGCAAGGCTCAGTAACCCTCGCTGTTCAGGGCTGGCACAGAAAAACTTCCCACTGCTCCTATGACAGCCCAAGGTTGAGCAGTCCTGTTTTTTTCATGAAATCCGTGCCCAAGTGGAGATGGCTGGCAGTGGGCTCTGCCTGGTGACTGCAGCACCCCTGCTCTGAGGCACTGCTCCCCGTGAATTCAGCACAGAGCCCCGTTCATCTGTGCTCCGACTCCACAGTTTTCCATCAGACAGGGACAGAGCAGCTTGGGTGTGATCCTGGTTGTGCTAGTCCTTCCTGGGATGCCTTCCAAGTGTCCCAGGGTGCAGCTGCGTGAGCACACCATTCCTGCTTTCAGGAGTTAGGAGTGAGGATAGCACGAGGAATTTTCTCACGTTTTGCTGGGTGGTTTATCAGAGCGTGAGGGTTGAGCATTGGCCCAGCCTCTCACGTGCACATGCTTTTTGGGGTTTGTTTTCAGCAGCCAGCATGCTGGCTGAGGCTTCTCTGTGTTGCTGACATTCAACAACACTGGCTCCTCAGCTCGAGAGAGAAAAAATAGCCAACTTTTTCAGCAGGAGCAGTGTTTGCTCTGTGGGCACTTGTTTTCTGAGAAGGTACTATTGTGCTCAGTGTTGGAAACAGGAGTGTCTCATAGCTTTGATCACACTGCTCACAGACCCCGACCCACTTTTGATATTGCCTCCAGTTATCCAGATTTATCTGCTCAGTTGGAAGTTGAGTTGTATGTGTTTTGGAAATGGAAATGCAGTTCCATAAGCCCTCAGTGGCAGGCCTCTGGCTTGCTATGAGCACAAAGGTCTTCTGGAGAACTTTTAACTAAATGGGACTTTTTTTCTCTTGTCAAAGCCACCCAAGTTTTGGTTTAAGTCAGTAAAGCCTAAATGGCTGGGTTTACTAGTTCAGTTTGGGACTGGGACCAGGTGAGGCTCTGCTACTCCCTAGCAAACTGATGCCTACACTTGGCAAACCCCAGACTGCTGCCTGTGTTTTTTCCCAGTGTCTGGGTCCGAGATTCTGGATGGGAACGAGGGGTTCCTGCTGAACAGGGTGATGGCAAACACTGCTGTGAGAGCCCTGGGACAGACCATGAGCGTAACGTGCCCTCTCAGCAGCCAGTGTTGTCAGTGTCACCTGTGCCTTGAGGAGGTTTTGGGTCCAGCAGTGGTGGTTGTGCTTCAGGTGGGGAATGTTTCCCTTGCTGCAGGGGCTGGGTTGGGTGTTGGTGCCAGGGTGATTTCAGGTGAAGCTGAAATGGATAACCCATTTCAGCTTGCAGTGAGTGTCTTGTTAGGCTCTTGTGTTTGAAATCATGGTGATGCAGGACCTTGAGAGTCTTTGTTTGGATGCCTGAGAGTATCTGGTATGCTGAAGAGACACCAGAGCTCTTGCTATTCTTGCAGCTTCTGACACTCGTAGGTGCTTGGCATGTTTGAAACTCAGGCCATCCAGCTGCTGCAGTATGGATTTCAGCTTATATTTAAGTACTGAAGATTGAAACTGTAAGTTTGGGCTGTATTTATCAGTGGATATTGTTATTTATGTATCTTGATTTTAAAGGAAATAAAATAGTATATTTTATAGTAGAAATGCTGCCTGATCAAACACCCCCCCCCCAAAAAAAAAGAACAAAACCTTAGTGAAATGATTATGTAAGCAAGTAAAATGACATTCTAATACAAAAGTTTCTTTCCTGTTTGGCGACAGAGTGGCTGGGGTTTTTTTCTCTTTCCTGCTGTTTAACATTTTTAAAATCCTTTTAGTGAATGTTTTTTTTGTATGGTAGGTATGAGAAATAGTTGTTTTTGCAATTTAAGTCCTTAAAGAGGTCATCAGGCTGTGGGAGCTAGCAGGAGCCAGATACGAGTATCTGGGGCTGTAGCTGACCAAAGCAGCAGCACATGAGTGCGTTTAAGCAATAATTAATGTAAAAAAAAACCCAAAGAAACTCATGTAACTGCTATTACTGTGGGAGCTCAGAGGATGCTCAGTACAGTCATCCTCTTAAGAATGTCTGGTTGCAAAGGGATTTGGGATCTTTTCCTGTTCTCTACCTCTGGGTCTGCTGTGGTGTGTGTCTGTCCCCAAGCTAAGGGACTCCATCTCCTCCACAAAAGCTGTCGGGGTTACCTTGAGCCTCTGTTCCCAGCAGGAGCGCAGGGCTGAGTCAGTGCTGCCAGCCCAGGGCTGTGACTCAGTGCTGTCCCCTCGAATGCACAGCCAGCCTGCTGCCAGCACAGCCAGGGTGTGCCTGTAACCTCATTCCAGAGCTGTCCTCTGTGAGTATCACCTGGTTACAGGGGTTTGGGAATGCTGGACTGCTTTCCTGCGTTGTGTGTGTTGGTGGAAGTTGATTGTTACTGAGCTTTTTTTCTGTGTGATACTGAGCATCTGGGGAAGTGCCAGGGAGCTCTGAGACAAGAAGCTTCTCCTGTGTACAGGATTATGGTTTTGTCTTTGTGGGTTGTGTTCCTTCTTTACATTTTATTTTAACTTACTTATTTTTTAAATTATTTTTTGAGATCTATGTACTTGAAGAGGAAGGGGTGCTTTGTTTTTACTTTTGGGAAAGGAAGAAATGTCTTCCCTGATGCTCCAGGGTTAGGTCTCTTTGTGGTTGAAAGCTGTCTATACTTCTGACTCAAGATTGCTTCATAAAAAAATGTCTTTATTGGGAACTCTGGCTATCTTCCTGTGCTTCTAAGCTCGATTTCCCGTTGCCTGGCATCACACTGTTAGTGCCCTTAAACAAAATTGGTCAGCACCTTGAAAAGTCCATCAGATTTGGCGAGAGAGTGGATTTGTCACAGGTAGGTTCCGAGTTGTGTGAGCACAAAAATCTGTGAGGAAGGAAATCTCAGATGAGTGCTCTGCTGACAGAAAAGCTGTTGCTGGAATGCAGATATTATTGGACATCAGAGGAGCTCTGTTGTAGTGAGAGAAACAGGAAATCAAGTTTCATAAGTAGTTCCAGTAAAAGGTAGGTCCTTATTTTCCTAAGTATCCCTTGTTTTCATGTGTGAAAGCGGAGGTGAGTGATCGAAGGAACACTCTTGCATCATCATAGGTGATGGAAGAAAACAAAAGATTTGGGTACAGTCCCTCACTCTGCCCCTGGGGGCTGTAGCACAGGGGAGACAGAGCAAAGATTTTAAATTTCCCTATGAAGGCTCTTACGGTTGTTTGGAATAATGTCCTTTTATAGGTGTAGGAAAGCACTGGGGTCAGGATTTTTCCATGCAGAGTGCTATTGGCAGAGATGCAAAAGGAAGCACTGCTCAGCAGAATGCAGAGGAATTTTTGGGTTTAGTTAGATTTTAACAGAATGGAGTTCTTGGACCTAGGTAACATGAAGACTATCCCAAATATCCTAATTTGGAGAAAACATGAAGAATATACTGTATTTTGAATGTAAGGTAGAAATCTTCCTCAGTTGGGGGTTAGTTTGGTG